CTTATTCCTGTATAGGGATATTTCAAAATAGGGTGATTTAATAGCACCTGTATTATAAATACACTTTCATTCAAAATGGCAAGGTACGATAGAGATATACATTGAATGAGAACATTTACTAAGTTTAGGAACTTGAGATATACCATCAATGCAAGTCGATGAGAACTGTGTTGGTACAACTGCCTCCAACTTTTGCTATGCAGACGGTTGAGCTGACAACTAGCATATTGGATCAAGGGCCAGGATCGGTGCATCAGAGATGCAAACAACCATCCCACTCCTCACCCCAAGAAGTGACAATGAGTTAGATGACTCAGCTATCTCTTCCACTCTTTACTTCTTCATCACTGCTTGCTTGATCAAGTTGGTCTCTTCCAACTAAATCCCTTATGCTGGCCTCTTCACACCAGCCGACCATCCTTTACCTTCCGACCTCTTTTCTTCTTGTTGGCTTTCCTCCACAGATTTCTTCTTGGGAGCCAACTGAGTGCTCTCAACTTTTTTTTTCTTGCCCGTGTAAGGGTGGATTTTATCAATCGAGAGCGCAAATTCCCTCAACATAGACTCCTCATTTGTTGATTTTTATTGCTCACCATCACTATCCTTTGTTAAAACGGATTGAAGGTAAGAAAATTTAGTAATGATGATGGAAAAGTGCTGAGCATGCCCTATTGATAGATATTACCAAAACAAAAATCTAGAGAGTACAATTATTAGAATTACTTATTACATAATTCATAAATAAATTGCTTTATTTATTTCTTTTATTATTGTTGCAATTGTCACTTTTAAAGAAATAAGAGAATCACGAAACTAAATATGTACATAAAAAATATGACAACACAATTATCGAGAAGATCTAACATATATTGTTAATAAAGTGCCAAAAGACTGCTTCAAAATAGTAAAAAGACAGAAGCGCCACGCGTCTGTTCATTCGGTTGGAATCATAAGCCGACCGAAGGAAAGTACAGCTGAGTGAAGGCACATTATGCACCTGATCTTAGGGAAAATCATGTGTAATCAAATCCCTCAACCGATTCTAGGATCATTCACAAATAGAACCAAGGATCGCTCCATTGAACATCTTTCCAACTTTCCGTTAAGTCCCTGTCTAAGGGAGAGCTGCCCATCAGATTATGGTGATGCATTCACTACTTGATTGTGTAAGTTCATCCTAATGATAAGAATGTCTCTATAGAGATTTATTTCTAGAAGGTCGACCGGAGAATTTGCGGTCGACTGAAGATCGTTCAACCTTGACCGAAACCGTACAACTGACTGAATGATTATAAGATGACCGAATGCTAACATCAATGGGTCACTAATACCCCACTTCAAACTGCTATGAATATAAAATTGTGCCAACGATGATTACGAATATTAAAGGATCTTGGAATCATATATAAATATGTAAAGATATAATGGTGTATTAATTACTTGTAATGTTCTTATTAAAATAGAGATAAATGTGTAACTTACTGGGCACCTCCTATGATTTATAAATACGGGGTCATTTCTTCAAGAATTGACTACTAGAGGCATTCTGAGGAAACTTGTGTTATTAGCATTCCACTTTTATTCATCTCTCTGTTCCTCTCATCCGTTCAACGCTACGTTCCTTTGGTGTCATCCACAGTACATTTTTGGATTCAACAAAAGTAACTTTACACAAATAAAGTGATATTGAATATAAAAAAGTGACATATAACAAATTTTTGAACACAATCTAAGGTTTAGGGTATAAAATTTATTAATGACTTTAAATCATTAACATGGACAACTAAATTCAACGTTAATTTCATTTTTCTTAGCACTTTCTTCACTTTCCATCCTCAAGATCATTTTTTTTTTCTTTTCGACATTCTGAAAATAAAATTTTGAGAGGTTTATTTTGTTAAAGACTAAATTTCAACCCCAATATTTTAAAATTTAGTTGCCCATGCATCCCTCCCTCATTAAATAAAATGCATATGTTTAAGGCTGGGTCAGGCTCCACTGTCCTAAAATGGAACGTGCCTTTGATGAAGAAAATATTTATATGTGGGTCTCAAATGAGATCTGCAAAGCATTAATATGTCATTGGAGCCTAGAAATAAATCTAAGACTTCGCCACGAAGTTCCTTTGCGAAGTAGTGCACGATGCCACACAGGAAAAATTTTGTTTGGTGAAGAAGTGTTTCCCAAACTTCTTTTGAAGTTCTTTTGCAAGAAGGTGATTTTTTAATGTTTAAAATCTCATGTGACCTTTTCCATTTTATTAACATAACTTTTAAATGAAATACTTCTTGGAAGTAGGGGTGTAAATGAGCCGAACACTATCTCGAGCTTAAAAAGTTTGTTCTTGTTCGGCTCGTTTGCTTAGCGAGCCGAACACGAGTCGTTTACGAACAAAGATTCATTTTGACAACCCTAATCACATAGCCCTAAGATGTTAAAGATTGTGGCAAGATTTAAAACATCATTTGAATTTAATTTAATTATTTTTATTCTATTTTCTTAATTAATACTTTTAATTGATTATAAATCTTTATAGCCTTGTAGTCAATTAAATTTTTTAAAAATACTACTTTACACACACACACACACACACACACAATTGATTAGTAGTATTTCAAGCCAAAAGCCTTACAAAAGTCCTCTCACGAACAAATATTTATTCGTGTTCGGCTCTTTAAATTAGCGAACAAGCCGAACACGAGCTTCTTAATGAGCTGAGCATGAGCTGTTCACAAAACAACTAGCCGTTTTGACAGCCCTACTTGGAAGGATGAAACTACTTTAAACAAAATCTATTTTTTACTCAAAAATAAAAGCCTAATATTTTTTACTCAAAAAGGAGTCTCCAGTGTCTTATTTTGTCATATGTTTAAGAGGAAGCAAAAGAGGTCACTCCAACCGATTCTGGCTGAAATAAACGGTCTTGGAGGAATTGTGCGCCACAAGATCTCTGACAATATCGGAGATGGCATACAGAACTGTTCTGCATTCTGTCGTTGTGTTGATGGAGCCGTGGAGCCCCGCCCACCGTTCGGCGCTCTCAGTTTCCTTGCCGGTACCGC